ACGATCTACCACTTTCCTACTCAGTTTTTTTGCATATTTTCATTCCGTGCGGCGAATTTCAGCTCTCCTTAAGTGCAAAAAGACCTTCACTCTCCTACTGCTAATTTCTTCTTCTGTTTTTGAAAAAACGGTGGATGAATTTGACTTTATAGGTTCGGAACATTTGAAACACTGAAAGGCTATGCTGTAGGGCCTGATGGTAATCTTGCACCGATGTGGAGGTTAATGTGCGGTCTTGGCGCAGGTATATATTTAAAATATCACAGTGTGTAATTACATCCCAAGATCATCTCGTCTTGCCATGAAAATGGCCTTGGAGTCTTCCCAGGAGGGAAAAAGAGTCTTCTGGAAATTTAAAATCTTTCCATCCTTTTTCTGGTATGGTAGCCCCTCCTGGATCAACTTTCTGGTCTATCATGCGGGAGAGGTTTTTCTTCAGTTTTTAAAGCTTATGTTTCTAAAAATTTTCGTCACAGTGAAAAAAACGATTCTTCATGTTTGGGTCATCTGTAATTCGTAATCTGTTTCTCCTTCTGTGCAACTGGAAAATTTTCCACTTCTTTAACTAATGCTGGCTGCATCGCCTGGCAGTCATTCTGTCGGTGGCCTTGACATTCATTTTCGTTTTTTTTTTAAAAAATCCCACGAACGGAAATTTTCTCAGCGTGACTAAGAATAAGTTATGTTGGTAGCATATTATTTACATGATTAAGTTGAGACATCTATAAAATTAATGAATTAGAATACCAGGATACATTTCGGTTATTATTATAGTTTTCCCGCAGCACTTATTTATTTTTCCTCTGTTTTTAGGGCTGTCGGAAGCAGTATTTGCGGTTACACCAATGGAAACGGTTAAAGTAAAATTTATACACGATCAGCAGTTGGAAAAGCCGAAGTTTAAAGGTTTCCTGCACGGCCTCAGGACAATCGTCCGAACGGAAGGCTTCAAGGTAAGAAGCAGTGATTTGTAAAAATTACATCTTTGGTGTCTCTTTTTCTAGATCTGATTATAAATTTCGTGCGAAAAAAGGGAATTAATTTTTTCAGGGTTTATATCAGGGTGTGACAGCAACGATGGCAAAACAGGGCTCGAACCAGGCCATCCGATTTTTTGTTATGGAAACTTTAAAAGACTGGTAATCTATTGGTTCTTACTGTACACGTTTTTTTTTCTCGACAACCAATTCTGGACATTTTGCGGGAAAATTGTTTGATCAGAGCTAATGTCCATCCATTTGTGTGATCACTGCTTGCCCTTTCCAGCTATTTAGCTTGCTTGAATGAAAATGAAAGGAGCCGGTCAGTGGTTCTGGACGATTTTAATTTCTTCCCAGAAATACGGCTCATTCCCGGATCGCCCTTGCCGACGCAGTGGCTTTAATAATGTGCTTCAGGTATCGGGGAGGTGACAGCAGCAAATCGGTCAGTAAGCCTGCTACAGCAGCTTTTGGTGCTATTGCCGGCGCCTGCTCTGTCTACGGGAACACTCCGATTGATGTTGTGAAAACACGAATGCAGGGACTGGAAGCTAAAAAATACAGAAATACTATAGATTGCGCTGTGAAAATCATGAAATACGAAGGCTTTTTCGCGTACGTTTTTCGCACTTTTTGGATTTTTTTTTTGCACATTTTTCAGTTCTATCATTTTTTGTGAGAAGAAAAATAAACCCTTTTTAAATGGATTAGCTGTAGCTTGGTTGTCCAGCTATGCGGTTTGCAATTTTTCCAATTGCTTTAATCAGTGTTACATAACTTAGTGGTCAGCCTGCTGGCGATTCTGTCCGTATTCGCCATATCTTTTCCACAAAACAGCTTCGTTCACAGCTAATGTTCAGGACTTTTATACGGATTTGTAAACCACTTTTTAACGTCAGTTTTTTTTCAGATTTTACAAGGGTACAGTGCCGCGGTTATGTCGTGTTTGCTTGGATGTCGCCATAACATTCACCCTGTACGATTCGATTATGGAATATTTCAATAAAATTTGGAAATCCTGAAAAATACTTTTCCTAT